TTGTAGGGTCGGAAGGGACCTGAGCAGATCATCAAGTCCAACCCCCTGCCATGGCAGGAAAGAGTACTGGGGTCAAACGACCACAGCAAGGTGTTCATCTAGCCTCCTCTTAAAGACCCCCAGGGTAGGAGCCAGCACTACTTCTGTGATTTTCTGCTGCCCATCTATCTGTTTTCAGGCTCCCCCACAGCTTCCCAGCTCCTATTGGCTGTCCTGGAGTTCTCTCCCACTTCCAGCACCTACTGCCGCTCTCTGCAACTTCTCTAGGCGTCCTGGAGCCATCCTCTGGCTCCCCACACCCAGAGCCCCTCTTTAACACCCACACTTTCCCTTAGTCCCATTTTCCCCTCTCCCTACCTGCCTTTTCAGCTCCCCCATAGCTGTGCTGGCATTGCTTCCCTGTTCTGCACACTTTGGGCATTGTCTTTTAATCAGTTAAGATCAATTAACTTGAAGTTACCCCGGAGCCTCAGTTCTTCAGCCCAAGCCCCTGTAGTCTACCGGTTCTAATCCCAGTCTTGGTAAATTTAACTCCCTACACTTCTACTTTCTTACCTTAACTGTTCCCCAGGTATCCCAAATACACAAAGCACATACATACATGCACACATATCACAATACCCAACTTAGGAACTCACTTGTCTGTACGTGTAGGTGGGTGGTATGTGTGTAAAGTAGTGAATACACACATATATACATATATAGATATCATTGTGTGTGTGTGTGTGTGTGTGTGTGTGCGCGCGCGCGTGTGTGTGGTATATAAATTAGTAATCCACGTATGTATCTGCTGGCCTCGCCCACCCTGTTCCATCTGCTCCGTTGCCCCTGCCTCCAGGGAGCAGGGCAGTGGGGGGCAGGGGGGCACTGGTCTCGCCCCCGTCCCCCATCCTGTGTCCCTGCCATCATAGCGGCATGCCACCAGCTCCTGTTGCAACACTTGTTCACACTCTGATTAGCTGTTTGCCAACCAATCAGAGCGCAAGTAAAGCGTTATGGACAGACAGACAGACAGACAGACAGACAGACAAACTTAGGCTTTTATAATATTAGAATTATTGATGACATATTCTATATGGCAAACCTTTAAATATTTCCTCAAAAATTAAAATACGTATCATTTCATATTTATTTCACATTTTTTTTAATGGACTGTGCATTAGCCATAGCCACGTCTTTCAATAATGGTTGCTCAGAGTTAGATTTTGTAAGTCAATAGACAAATCAATAAGAGCGTCTAGATGCCCACTACTTCTGATTATCAGCTACACAAGTGACTTCATAGACTTCACAAAGATCATCCCACAAGCCTTTCTGCCAAAAAACCCAATTATTGCTTTTTGGGCCCAATGACAATGAACTTCAGAGCACTCAAGAAAGAACAGTAAGGCCATGACTACACAAGCGTGGACATTTGTTTCCCTGGGGACAAGAAGCAGGGGCTGCTACCTGTCCCTGGGGAATGCCTATGTCATGCACCCTCTGGTGTGTGGCAGATTCCCTGGTGAGGTAGCAGAGGCTGGGGCCAGCAACCTGGGGGCCTCAAGGAGCTACAGCCGCAGCACTCCTGCAGCTGGACAGCTGGCAGAGTGTGGCTTTGGTGGGCCAGGCTCTGGTTTTGGGCAATGCATGCATGCTGCCACCATGTGCACCACCCTGCTTTTTTTCTGTTGGGTTGGGTTTTTTTGCCCTGCACTCTCCCAGGGTCAAACCCCACTCCTCCCCAAGGTGCAAGGCAGCAGCACAGGGAACACGTGAATGTGCAGTGTGTGGCACTGCAGATGAGTCTACAGTACCACATACTGCACACCTGCACTTGTCTAGATGCAGCCCAAGGGAGGAAACACAGACAAGACAGCGTGCAACAAGAACACAAATGGAAGATCATTCTGGCAGGCAGACATACAACATGACTGCTAAGGGGAAATTTACTCTGTGGCATACAACAGGCACAAAACCAGCTGTGCCCAAGCACGCTGTCCACAGCAGGCTGTAGCACAGCCCCGGCCAACAGCCCCATGCGGAGTGGTTGGAACTGTGCAAAAACCTGCTGTGGAACGGAAACAAGAGAGAGCGAGCTGGTCCAACAGAAGATGCCACCCAGGAAAATCCTTGCCTAGGGTTTCCAACCGACTCATACACGCTTATGGCTCCTCCATTTGCCAAGAAACAACTACCTGACTTCACAAGTGCCTGGCTGGGCCTCCTGGGCTCCCTCCGCCTGGATCTAAGGCAAACCTGTCCAAAGTAAGCGTCCTGGACGCGCACACCCCAACCTTCCAGCCACAAAACAGGTGGTGCAGGCCTCATGGGCCACCCCTGCTGCTCCACACCCTGAAGTAAACCTTTGTGGAAGCCCCATCTGCCTGTGGGGAGCCGCTGCGTCGGCTGGGAAAACTCTGGGACACGGTCCCCCACCCCGTTCAGGGGAGCAGCAACCAGGGGCCCAGCTGGCAAGAGGCCGCGTTTAAGGACAAGCGAGGAGGGCAGAGGTGCCCACCAAGGGCAGCTGCTTAGCTAGAGGCCGGACGGGGCTCTCCTCCCACCACGCTTAACGGGGCCAGGCGGCGCTGCTGCCTCCCTGGGCCCCGGGGCCTTGCCGGGGAGCAGGAACGCCGCGCTTGCCGCGCCCACCTGCAGCAGCACCAGGAAGGCGGCGAGGCGCCGCTGGCTGCGGCCGAACTCCCCGACCTCCCCGAAAGCCTCATCCAGCTCCATGGCCTGGCCCGCGGCAGCCCTGACGCGGGGCCCGGAGGGGCGGAAAGCTGCCCCGCCCCGCGCTGAGCTGGCAGCCCCGGCCTGTCCCCCAACGCAGGCAGGTGCGACAATGGCCCGGCCTCGCGCCCTCGCTCCGCCTCCCTCAGCGCGGGCCGGGCGGAGGCGGCGGGGCCGGCTCGGAGCGTCGCTTCCGGCTTGAGACTCGCCAGCAGGAGCCTCGGGGCTGGGGCTGTCCCGAGGATGGGAGCGGGCTGCGCTCCCGGCCGCATTTCTGAGGACAAACCCGCCTGCTCCCTCACAGACCGCTTGTTGTTTCATGCCCGCGCTTAGGGCAGCGACCTGGGAAAAGGGACAGGGCCCCAACGTCTGCTGCAGCAGGGACTTGCGCTTTACACAAGAGGCTGAAAGGCCTTGCCCGAAACAGCCCAGCCCACTGCTGAGCCTCTGCGATACGGGGCTGAGGAGTCACAAAATAAAACTGGGAGGTTTTGTCCCTCAGCCTCTCTTTCAAGCGCAGAACTCATTTCCACCACAGGTGGGGGAAGCTGACAGTTGCACTAGTTGTTTGGAGGAAAGGCACATCAATAGCTATTGAGTATGGGAGTGAGGGGCACAGCCTCTGAATCTGAAATCCGAAGACCAGGAATAGGGTTAGGCATAGGCAACCCCCAGCAGAGGTGGCAGTGTGCTACCCGAAGGCACTTTGCTTGGCATGCATGCCTCGGAGTGGATAGCAGGAAGGGGGTCAGGTATACGCTACCACAAAGATAGGATGCTTCACAGCTCCCACATCATCTGCCCCACCACACCAACATCTTACAAATCGAGGCTGCAGGTGTTTTCAGCACTCTGTCCTAGACAATAAATCACAGCTGAGCCACAAGTGTTGATAGGGGAGCACAACTGCACCCTACCGCCACTACCCCCACTGCTGCTGGATGCTGGTTCTAGCCAGGCTCCAGCCCTGCAACCCAACTCCATGCCTAGACCAGGACCACACTCACATACAAACCTGTGCACATAACCACCCTAGATTTAAAATAAATAAATTAAAAAAAAAAAAAGCCTTGAGGGAGGACCCTATTCCCTAGAAGAACAGGCTATAGGCAGCCACAAACATCCCCCTTTTCCCCACCAGCATGATGCTCAGCGCCAGAGATACAAGGCAAGCTTCAATGGCTGCTGAATTCTTCATTGCTCATGCCTCAATGTTCTTGTCTGACCCAAAATTGAAAAAGAAAAAAAAAAATGTGGCCACACCAAGTTCCCGTTCCTTACGGACAATCTGAATCTTCTGATTAAAGCACAGGCCAAAATCTAGGGATCAGTGTAGCATGCCAAGCCCCACACCTCTCAGCCCCATAGCCCTGGCACTAGTTCAATTTGTCATGTGTTATGGTTAAAAAAGTCCTCGTGCCCACTAGGATCCCACTTCTCAGGAGCAGGTTTGAGTTCACACCCAGGATTAAATTTGCAAATTTTATGCTACAAGCTCACCATGAAAACACCTAAGCCAGAGGACAAGACACAAATCTGGATTCCCCAACTCCATGCTTAGACCAGCACCCCACTCACATACATCCCTATGCATACCACCACCCCAAAAACCCCCCAACAACAAAAAAGCCTTCAAGGAGAGTCCTGTGCCCCACAAGAAGAGGCCACAGCCAGCCACAAACATCCCCCTTTTCCCTGCCAGCATGATGCTCAACCCCAGAGAAACAATGCAAGCCTCCAGGGCTGCTGGCTTCTTCACTGTCTGGGCCTCAACAGTCTTGGCTGCCCCAGAACTGAAAAAGAATACAATACATTTTAGCAGCACCAAGTTCCCCTTCCTCAGAGACACTCCAAGTGTTCAGATCAAAGCATGAGCCTAAAATCTGGTGCTCTGCAGAGCCCTGCAGCTTTCAGCCCCTGGGGGGGCCCTGGCACTAGTCCAACTGGTTCTGGGGCCCATCCCAGCTTGCCATGTATTCTGGTTAAAAGAAAAGTTCTTCAGACCCATCAGGAGCCCACACCCAGCCTTGAACTCTCAACCTTTTTGCCATAAGCTTAACATACAAATCCCCAAACCAGAAGTGAAAACACACCTACAGGCCTTCCCCAACTCCCTGCCAAGACCAGCACCATACTCGCATACATCCCTATATTCACCCTCCCAATAACAGCAGCAAAATTCACATCCTTGTGGGTGGGCTCTGTCCCCCACAGGGAGACCACAAACACCCCCTTTTTCCCTGCCAGCACGATGCTCAAACCCAGAGATATAAAATAAGCCTGCAGGGCTGCTGCCTTCTTCAGTGCTGGTGCCTCAACCATCTCAGCTGCCCCAAAATTAAGAGAAAAAAAACAAAAACAAATAAAACAAAAAATATTTTGGCACATGCCAAATGGGTACACACTGTGAGTGTGTAAGTCATGCCACTTCCACCCCTGCTGCTCCCAGGCCATGCTCTGGTTGAGCTGCAGCCCTGTAGCCCACGTTTAGCACAGAAGTGTGCAAATGTACATTCCCCTGCCACCCACTGCCTATGCCTTAAATGGTACACACTGCAAGCGAGAGAGGAACAGTGGGAAAACTTTAGTGGTGCCCAGTTCACTCTGCCTTTCACCCTCCACACATGGCCAGTGTGCGACACAGGAGTCTGGGCACAATGGACCTACGGTCTGACATAGTAAATGGCAGTTCTTAACCAGTTTTAACCAGAGATTCCATTCTTATCAGACTTGATGCATAGTTTCTCTTAGGTGAGGATATCTTAGGGTGGTATCTTTTATTGGACCAACACTGTCAAAAAAATACCTCAGAACTGGGACAGCATGTGTTGTAACAGGTTGATGATAATGTTTTGAGTGCTGCTGGTTCAATTCCGTCTGCTGCTGGTGCACTGTGAGGTGGTTCTTATTGCAATAGCTGATTCCACTTTTTCTTCTTGTGTTACATGGCTGTCCTTGGGTATTTCTGGTAGTAGGTTTGAACTTGCTGCATTAAGAGGTCAGGTATGGTCTCCAGGTTAGTGTTTCTTCATTTTGTAGCATAAACGAGTACATTTTATTTCAGCTGATCCCTTTTCTAGTGTTTGGTAAAGAAGATGATTGAAGAAAGTAGGAAACCATCTCTTGCAGAGTTGTGCGGCCTATATGGAGCTGTGTGTGTTAGCTAGAGTATTGCAGATGATGAGTCCCCTTAGGTGTATGTTATGTTAGGTCCTTGTTACACCTTACACTGTGATTCGCACAAATGTTGATGGGTGTTAGTGCTAGCTCGTGTTTGGAATGCGTCACATGTCCAGGCCAGCAGAGGCCTGAAATATAAGAACCCCAGCCCCTACCTGTTCCCCTGGGACAAACACTGCAAGCAGCCACAAGTGGGGGCAGGGGAAATCTGGGGTGCTGGGGAGTGCGTATTTACACCAACATGTAGCCTACAATTGCTGCACCTTAGTGTAACACGAGCTGCCTAACACAGAACAAAGATAATACTGTCCTTGGAGCAAAATAATTTTGAGCTGCATCACTAATACTTAAAACTAGTTTCAGGTGTTAATGTGCAGATAATCCAGGAGTTAAGAGCTCCAGGAGCCACCCAAAATTACCCAACCCTTACTTTCTCATAGGACACAATTGGCACCTCTCCCAGGCCATGAGCCAAATGAACACAGCTGAGTTAAGGCAGGCTGGAGGCAATATCTAACAGCTGATCCACTAGATGGTTTATTCTCACACAAAAAAAGTGACCAACTGCAGGATATATAAACTTCTGTGTCCATATTCTTTTTTGTCAGCTAAGGTAAAATTTGTTGCAGACTAGATCTGACCCCTGGGTCACAGGTTGCCAATCCTTGCTGTAGGTTTCAGTTTTGACAAATCAGTTTTTGCTGACAAAAAACTATTTTGTTGGAAAACAGATCACCTGTCTCTGTAATGCCAGACAGAAATCTGTCATTTCTAGACTTGTTACAAAAAGTGGCCCTTTTTAATGGACTCAAGTAACAATAAATCTTTTCAACTGTGCACTTACCTTTCTGCGTTGTAGTTTAGTCCATCTAGAACAGTGGTTCTCAACCTTTTTAGACACAATATGTAGAGCCCAGATTTCTATTCATTCTGATGTTCTGTTTAAGCATGCACAGTTGAAACAAGGCTTGGAAAAGCCTGGAAAAAGTAAACTTTCGACCTCCTGGCCTAGTTGTCATTAGTGATCATGTGTTTGGACTGAGGGGTCACAGTTAAGCGGATCAAATACATGTACTTAATACATACCATCAAGGAATATCCCATCTTAAATCACATTTCTGCATCCTTGTTATGTAAAGTCTATGTATGGATGTGAATTTAAACAGTGGAAATCTACAGGCTACAAAAATTAACCCAATATATGCCATCAATAAAATACTATGACTTATAAATGAAGCTTAACAACACAGCCTAATAAAGCTTGTGAAGTTTTAGGTCTGATCTGTGAAGGCAGCATGTAGTAGTGAGATTTTAAAACGAAAAGTTTAAGTAGTGAAGGACCATATGCAACCCACGCAGCATTTTACTCTGGTGAATAAAAAAAAAAAAAAAAAAAAAAAAAAAAAAAAAAAAAAAAAAAAAATTCCCATTCAAAATGAGACCCCCCCCCCAAGCAATTTACCTTTGCCAGATCAACACGTATACACGTCCCAAAGAGAAGCACGTTCCTAAAAACTGCATATAGAATTATTTTTAAATGGAAAACTTCCAATTAAATAAGTTAATGGCTAGACTACACAGACTAACTTGCAGTCCTGAATTTCCACCCCCCCTCCCTCTGCCCCTGCCCCCAGTATCTTCATGAGCTTGCTTTTATGGCATGTGTACAGCACAGTGCAAGCACATCCTAGTTCCCCATACCTATCCACCCACTTCGGCTTCCACCCCCAAAAATATGCCAGTAAAGATGCTTCAGGGTCATCTCCAGGAGCTGCTCTCAAGCATGCTGGAAACTGGTGTCTTAAGAGCAGCTGCTGGGGATGACACTGGAATGTCTTTGGGGCAAAGTTCTGGGTTTGGAGCATCTGAGTAGGAGTTAACTAACACTGATAAAGTAATGTTAATCCAAGATTAGAGATGCATAAAAATAAAACCAACAAGTTAATTTCTAGTAAA